ATCCCGACCCGCAGCCCCTGCCAGCCCAGCGCCCCCCCCAGCTCTGCCAGTGCCCCTCAATCCCGACCCGCAGCCCCTGCCAGCCCAGCGCCCCCCCCAGCTCTGCCGGTGCCCCTCACTCCCGACCCGCAGCCCCCCCGGTTTACCCTTTCCCCGCAGGACGCCCGCCCCTACCCGTTCCTGCACACCCAGGACGATACCTACGAGAACCTGAACGGGATGCTCTTCGGCCGGCTGCCGGCCGTGGCCAAGTCGGTGGCCGAGATCGTGGGGCAGCTGCTGATCCGCCTGACCCATGACCACCTGGTGCCGCTGGACTTCGGTGCCTACGGAGACGTCCTGCTGCACCGGATTGCGGAGCTCAACCCCTACAGCAGCGAGCTCAAGGTAGGGGGATGGGGGGGGATCCAGCCCCACAGCCACCCCGAGGGGGATCCGGGGCTCCACCGATCTCCCTGGCTCTGAGAAGGGAGTGGGGGCTGGTGGGTCAGAGCAGGGGGGCTGGGAGCCAGGACTCCTGGGTTCTCTCCCCGGCTCTGGGAGGGGAGTGGGGGGCTGGTGGGTTAGAGCAGGAGGGGTTGGGAGCCAGGACTCCTGGGTTCTCTCCCCGGCTCTGGGAGGGGAGTGGGGGCTGGTGGGTCAGAGCAGGGGGGGCTGGGAGCCAGGACTCCTGGGATCTCTCCCGGCTCTGGGAGGGGTGTGGGGGCACAGATCTGGGAGCATGGAAGTTGGGGGGTTGGAAGGCCCCATGGAGGGACGGGGGCTGGGTTGCATTCCTCCCCCCATTGATCCCTGCCCCCCCCGCCCCACAGAGCCGCGGCCTGACCCTGCAGTGGCTGTACTCGGCCCGGGGCGACTACACGCGGGCGGCCGAGAAGCTGCGCCAGGACATCTACAGCTCGGAGGAGAAGAACGAACGGCTCAACCGCATGCACAACGTCCGCATCATGAGGGTGAGCTGGGGGGGTCTGGGGGGTTCTGCATCATCCCGCAGCTCCCCAGCCCCGCGGCCTGCTGTTAGCCGGGAGCATGTGCCTTTGAGCTGCGCGGATGCATGCAATTAGCTGCCGCATGCATCGGGCCTGGCCCGCGTCGGCGCATGCATCGGACCGGGCCCAGGTCGGCGCATGCATCGGGCCGGGCCCGCGTCGGCGCATGCATCGGGCCGGGCCCGCGTCGGCGCATGCATCGGGCCTGGCCCGCGTCGGCGCATGCATCGGGCCGGGCCCTCGTCGGCGCATGCCCGCCTGCTGCCTCTTGCCTGCATCCCCTGCTGCATTTGTGGGGGTCGGACTCTGCTAAGCACCCCTCCTTCTTCCCCCCCCAGGTGGAGTTCTACTTCCTGTCCCCCTACGCAGCGGCTACGGAGACCCCCTTCCGGCACGTGCTGCTCGGGCAGGGGCCCCACACGCTGCAGGCGCTGCTGGAGCACCTGCGGCTGCTGCGGGAGGCCCCCGAGCGCTTTGACGAGGGGCGGTTCCGGCGCCAGCTGGCCCTGGCCACCTGGACTCTGCAGGGGGCGGCCAACGCCCTGAGCGGGGAGGTCTGGGACGTCGACATCAACTTCTGAGCCCCCCGCCCCAGCGCCCCACTCCCCTGGGTGCCCCCGATGGCTTCCCTCCCCCCATCCCCCGGATCACCCCGTCCAGCCTCCCTCCGGGGCCTCACCCCACTGACCCCCCAAATATCCCCCCTGTGCAGCCCTCCCCCCAAATCTCTGCCCCCCCTCTCCTGCATCCCCCTTCCTTGTCTCCATCTCCCCACCCAGAGGGACCCTGTGTTTCTCCTAGGCCCCCAGACAAGCACCCAAGGGGCACCCCTTTCCCTGCCCCCCCAGCCCCGCTGCCCCCCCCATTAATTTATCAGTGGCAGCGCCCACTATAAATGGTTTCGTTTATTGCTAGGCGATAGATTTAATTTAACCCTTTGTCGGAAGCACCAGCTTCTATAGCCCCACCCCCCGTGACCAATGGACAGGCAGCATCACCGGGAACCAATCACAGGCCGGCTCCCCAACACGGTCCCGCCCCACCCCCAGTACCCCCAAAAAATCCATCACCAGCTGCAGCCTCGGGCACCAGGACTCCTGGGTTTTCTCCCCGGCTCTGGGTGGGGAGCGGGGGCTGGTGGGTTAGAGCAGGGAGGGCTGGGAGCCAGGACTCCTGGGTTCTCTCCCCGGCTCTGGGTGGGGAGCGGGGGCTGGTGGTTAGAGCAGGGGGGGCTGGGAGCCTGGACGCCTGGGTTCCTTCTCTACCTCGTCTATCTCTGCACCTTATTTCCCCCTGCCCTAATGTGGGGGGGGTCCCCTCGGGCCAGGGCCAGCTGGGCAGGTTCCCCCCCCCAGAGCCTGAAAGCTCAATAAAAATGGATGCTGCAACTGCGTTTGTCTATTTCCAGGGGCCCCCAGCCCCCAGGTTTCCTTGGCTCAGGGGGGCAGGGAATGGGGCAGGGGCCTGTCCCCTCTGGTACCAGCCCCCATGTGCAGAGCTCTCTGGGGCAGGGGCCCCCGCATGTTGCCCCCCCCCTCCACTCCCCACACTTCGGGTCTACTTCGGGCTTCTTTAAAAATTGTATTTTTGCACCAACAACAAAAAAATTCTCCAGGCAAAAAATGTCAAGTATCTGCCCCCCCCCCAGCTGGCAGATTGGGGGGAGGGGCAGGATTCAAGTATCAGATGAGGGGGGCTGGGTGCTCAGGTGAATTGGAAGATTTCAGGAGGGGGGACGAGTTGTTGCCCCCTCAAAAACGGGGGCTAAATGCCCTTTATTGCCCCCCCAATTCCCAAGGGAGTCAGAGGTCAAAGGGGCCGGACACTTCCCCCACAAACAGCAGGTATCTCTGGGCGGGGGTCCCTGAGGAGGAGCCTAAGTGTGCTGGCTCCGCCCCTTTCAGTGCAATCCCCGCCCCACAGGGGGAGGGGCTTAAGGCTCTCTAACTTCTGCCCTTCCCCCAAGGGGAGGGGCATAATGGATTTGACACCCCCCCCGCCTCACTTCCTCCTATGAAAAGGGTGGAGCTGGAAGGGGCCCCCCACCCCCACCCTCACCCTCTGGACGCACCCAGAAGGGGAGGGGCACATGTCCCAGTTCCCCTCTCTCAGGCCCCGCCCAAGGGGGAGGGACTTCAGTGCTTGGCCACACCCTCTGCGTGTCACGGGCCTGTGACTCTATGGCCACCCCCCGCCCAGGATGAGAGGGAGTTCTTCCCAAGGGGGCGGGGCTTAGGGGGAGGAGCAAGAGCCCGAGCAAGGAGGGCAGGGCCTGTGCTCCTGGGACACGCCCCCCCAAGGGGGAGAGACCCCGCCCCCCACCCCCGTGTCGCTCATGGTCCAGCCCCCTCCGGGATGGGAGGAGCTTACGGACATTGTTTCAGCCACACTGACCAGGAGGAAAGGGCGGGGCCTAGAGCGGTGGGCGGGGCCTAGAGCAGTGGGCGGGGCCCCTCAGTCGTGCCCGGCCTCGCTCAGGGGCATGTGGCGGATGGTGTGGAAGATCCAGTCCATCTTGGTGGTCCAGCCGCCGTGGTGAGCCTCGTTCATCTGCTTCGTGAAGTACTCGAGCGCCTCTGGCTCGGCCTTGTCGAGTGCCAGCGTCTTGCGCAGGTAGGCGATGTCGTCGAACGACTGCAACTCCGGCAGCCCCGAGCTCAGCATCAGGGAGAACAGGCTGATCAGCAGGTTGGCGTGTTGCCGGATGGCGAGGTACGCCGCATAGCACATCTCCTGGAACCTGCCGGCGCAGCGCGGGGTCAGCACCCCGGGGGCACCACGACAGGACTCCTGGGTTCTCTCCCCGGCGCTGGGAGGGGAGGGGAGGGGGGGCTGGTGGGTCAGAGCAGGGGGGGCTGGGAGCCAGGACTCCTGGGTTCTCTCCCCGGCTCTGGGAGGGGAGGGGAAGGGGGGCTGGTGGGTCAGAGCAGGGGGGGCTGGGAGCCAGGACTCCTGGGTTCTCTCCCCGGCTCTGGGAGGGGAGG